GAAGTAAAAAATATTAATGTTAAATTTTGTAACCGAAAATGGAGGGAAAAATGTTATAGATTTTATTAAACAGGTTTTATTAAATGCTATATGCTAGCAATTATATATATATAGATTAACCATATAGATTAATCTGTGGGTCGACCCGGGTCGCACACCTGACAATAATGAGTGAATCTTTTAACAAGAGTTTTTTGCATTAAGAAGGACTTGAACCGAGTGAGTCTCCTAACAAGAGTTTTTTGCATTAAGAAGTACTTGAACCCGAGACCTTGCTTAAGGAACATCAAACTGCATAGCACTTGAATCAACTCCTCTTGGTATTAACCATATCTTTTTGGTTCAGACAATCTATTGTTCCAATAAATATATATACTCAAATGTCATATTTTAAAATACCATACAAATATAAATATAATATTTCAAAGTATAAACATACATTATTTATTAGAAAGTATCGTTGTTTAGCGGTCAGACACCAAAAACATCTCTAATTTCAATATATGCTTGATAGATTGTTTAGTGCAACATGAAATTCGCATTACTTGATCAATTGTAGCTAATTGAGTTAATGTCGAAAAACCGATTGAACCAAGATTAGGTGATTATGCGAAACTAGCATTGATACTCGTGCGATGCACGTATAGTATACTTGATAGAGAAGAGATTGCGTTGACTTTTTTGGACAAGCATGATTGTTTAACATTATTAGTTAATTATTTATTTTCTTTGTATTATTTTTTTTTATTTTTTTAATATTTATTAAGTGCATCCTAGATTTGCTAGGAAACTTATTTATTTTATTTGTCTTTTACTTGTTGGGCAAGATAATTACTTAGGGTTGGGAGTTCGATTTAAATACTCATCATTTATTATTTTATTTCAAGACTCAACTTCTATTGCTTTGAGAGAGTTGAGTTGGGTTTTGACCAGAAATAAAAATATATTGAGAGTTTTTTGTTGATTCTCCCAATCTTTACGTTTTCACTACGTCAGTTGTGATTCCTACACGATGCCGCCCAAACGGAACAATGTTGCAGACGACAGGTGCAATGCTGCGATCGAGGCAATGGGGCTCCAAGTTGCGGATTTGATCGCAGAGCTCGAGGACGCGAGGCTGGCGCCGATGTAACCGGCGATCGTACTAACCGCGCGCCAGACGGAGTACGTGGCGGTCGAGGGGGATTCGCGGTGGACGTGGTCGGGGTGCTCACGGGGCACCTCACTCCCGAACGCCTCAGTTGTTCTTTGGTGACGATAATTTTGAGGACACCTTCTCTAATGTAAATTCGTTCGATAAGATGGCGACGCAGAACCTGGCCAGTTTGCCGATGATCGACATTAGATGTCATCGTTCTGGGTCGAGATCCTCGATTTTTTTGGGAGCTTGAAAGCCGCCAAGTTCTTGGATGAGCAGGGGTCGACAGAGAATGAAGGTCTGCCTCTTTTTGATGATGAAGGGTCGACCGAATATGAGGGTCCGCCTCTTTTTTATGACGAACAATTGACCGAATATGAGAGTCCGTCTCTTTTTTATGACGAGAGACCGACCGAATATGAGGGCTCGCCTATTTTTTATGTCGAGAAAAACACAGAGATGTTTATCAAGAGCTTTAAGGCT